CATGGCTATCGATAAGTTCTGGTATCGTGGGTACCCGATAAAATGGAGTGATGGAAAATAAGTTTTTTGACAACAGACTGTGTACCTCATTTCATTTTACGCTGCGGATATTCAGCAGACAGCAAGTAAGTAAACGTTTATAATAACTTATTAAATATTAGGTTAAGGTATTTTATACTGATCTGGTCTCCCGTGTGTTTTGTTTATTTTTATTATATGTTTAAAATGCATGTTTGTTATATTATACTCAACAATATTTAAATATTTAAATATATCTCACGCAATATTTGAAAACCACTTCGTAAAATGTCGTGTAGCCGGATGCCGGAGGGTCTTATTCAGCACGTCAGCATTTTGATCAATGTAAATCGTATCCCTTTTCAAACACGTAACATGTCTGTAGAATAATATCAGTGGAAAATTTATTTTTATTTTTAAATCACTTTATTACGTAATGATGCGATCACACATCACTAAAGTAATTAAATAAAATGTAACATACTAATAAGTAATAAATAACGGCCGGACTGTCGCATGTAGAAATCGGAAATCTCCAAACCCCAATAAAACCATTGTCACAGATACTATTAAAGCGTTGGGCGTGTGGGTTTCTTACATGACACCAGAGAAAAGGGTATGGTAAAAAAGGGGTGCTACTACTTGCGTCTGAAATAATTATCAGTAGGTTAGTTGGGTCCTGCAAAAAAGGTTCAAAGACGGTCATAGCCTATTTGAGTCCTGGTATACCTTTTTAGGCAGCTTAGTTGAGCCCCAACGTAAATAAAGCATAAGCATATCACACATTAATTATTACTAACAATTAGTAATAGAGTAGATTAATTACATATGATTTCACTACATTTGACACTATTATTACCATAACACATCACATTTAAAAAAATAAAATCATGTACAAACTATTTATAGATGATGTAAAAAAACATGTTAAAATAATTATGCATAGTTCAAAAAATTTTATATTATAAAATCGTGAATTGTTAATTGAAACTATAATCAAATTAATTATATGCATTTTTAACTACAACATAAAAAGAGTAAACTAATAAATGTTCCTAAAATAAAGCTTAAAAGTGTATGTGCATAAAATTATTAATTACTAAAATAAAAAATAATGTTTTTTGAAACATATTATTTTATAACATTTGATCAGTGTGATTAGTATGCTGATAATATTTTATTGTTAGTCGCGGACATAACAGATAATTTACACATACGACATACCTCATAATATGAACAATATAACTATTGTAATTTGTAACACATATTACATACAAATTTATTTACGCAACTCGGTCACGAGTTTAATGACAGGTAAGAAGAAGAATATGGTTGAGTTGCGTCCCCAAGTGCATGTACTTGCCTACTACTTTTAACATTTACCTTTTTTGGAGGAAGCAGGTAGTATGCAGCCAAAAAAAGGTCCTTGCAGCCGAAGCGAAATCTACTTCTCAGATGCGCAATACAATCCTTTGATAAAACCGTCTACCACTCTCGGGTGAGCATAATCGTGTCGTCCACAAAGAAAATGCACGCACACCACCTAACACAGCAACAACCCCTCTATGCTGAATCCTGTGAGCGACGACTGTACTCCTTATGACGAGCAATAATCAGTGTGTTTTATTATTTTGATTTGAATATTTTGAGTTATTAATTTGTGTCACCTAAAACTTCTGCAGCATAACCCGGAGACAGCTGTGAGTCAGGCAAGACTTATAATATAAAATATATTATTATTAACTGCATTATATTACATTATATGCACATGCCACGTACACTCATATTGTAAGGTGTATTTGATCAAATTCTTGAATACCTGACCTCGAGAGCCCTCCGAATGTCCGAACACCTGGAATAAGGCAGTAAGTGTCATTTTAATACTTGTATCTGGTATTATTCTCCAGCACTTAAGTGTAGAGAATCATACAGATACTTAAAGTTAACATTAGATTTTAATATAATTATAGCCATATTTAACTATATTTATTCTATTTTTTCGTTATTGCAATATACACTATATATTTGTGGTTACTTCGGGCCAAGTGATCCTTTTTTTTTTCTTAAACTCATATGAATTATTAATAAAATCATTATAAAATGCTTTGTAATTTTATAAAATATGAGTAGATAAAAATGTTTTTGTGGTAACCAAAATGGTGGATTGTGGCGAGGGGATGATGTAGAGGCCAGGGCTGGCAAAGAGGCCAGTAGCGAGGAGTGAAGTTTATGGTTGGGGAGACACTGAAAAAAAAATAAAACTAATACGTCTGAACTCCCCCTTTTCCTATTTTATCTATACAATAAGAAATGTTATGAAATGTTTGAATGTTCAAAAACTAAAAACTAAATTAAGTATTATATTTAAAACATTACAATTTTCTTAAAATAATAATTTAATATAATAACAAAATATGTATTGTAGTCTAACAAAATAAAATGTAATATAATATACTGTATACATGCAATTCCCATTAAGATGACGTTTAAAAAACAAATTTACATTAAATCTATTTTTCTATTTTTGTCTTACAAAATAAGTCATTTACATTAAATTCAGTAAGTCATGGTCTTTTATTTTTTAATTCAAATTTTTTTTTGCAAGAATAGTTAATAATTTCATCTTTCTAAATTTTTGTATCATCAGTCATGAAGAAAAATTACAAATTACTATATAAAAACAATAAATATTAAGAAATAAGTATGATGTACCTATCACGATGACACGATGGCGTGACTACTCGACGGCGAAGTCGATAAATTGAGGACTGAGGTATTCACACATCAGGTATTTACTATATACGAACAGCGAGACGCTTCTCACATCGTACTTAGTATATCCCACTCGCATTAAAAATCCCCCTGTACCCGCGCTCTCATATTGGCGAGACCATAGACCTATAGTTTATAGGTATATGGGCGAGACATTCAGACATTGCGTCGCAACATCAATTTGAAATAATACCATATTTAGAATGACCCGCATCAGCAGCTCGTACACACAGCCTCATCTAGTCTATTTTTAGAATTCTATAATTGTACAACGAAAAACATATTTTAACAAAATTTTGAAACGTACACCATACTGTCTATAATTATAATATAAAATATAAATTCAAATTTGTATACATTTTATGAGGCAAAATTATTATTTATTTGTCCCTTGTTCTAATTTCTAAATGGAGAGACGTCTCTTATGACGCTTCGCCACTAGGCCCGACATGGCAGTGTATCCACGATGAACCCAAGATAAACGAAGTGACGGATCATGATAATAAAATATTAATATGTCGCTAGATCATACCTACAACAGTACAACATTGTTACAGGTACGAACCAATAGTCTTTAAAAGTTCTAATAGTTTTTTTAAAATAAATATTTAAAATTGTTTAATATTATATTATTATGTCAGATTAACATCTGTTAGTTTCTACCACCCTCTAGCAAATCGTTCAAGTCCACGCCGTTATCAAACGCCGAATTCTTATTACGTCAGTTTTTTCGAAAAATTGTTTGCTCTATTACTTGATTTTTTGTGTTTTTGGATCCGTTTGCATGCCTCATACTTCATACAGTTTAAAAGGCGAGAAACTTTGTTACATTACCGTGAACCCTTTTCTTTGCAATTTTTGTTTTAAATTTATGTAGTTATGCTATGAAAAATGGTTAAGTCGAAATTTGGAGGTTAAACTTAGTTTTAAAATTATGGTCTAATAACTCTAATAGTTTCAAATTCTACGATTTGTATTCATTTTCACTAAGCTCACCTCTCTTTTCATTGTCTTTATATGTTATACTAAGCTATAATAACGGTTTTTGCAATTATTTTCGAGTAGACAACAGTTGCAAAAGTCGTGTATTAACATTTAACGTTACCATAACAGTGTGAAAAATAAATTAAATAGTGGCCCCGACTTTAATCAAAAAACAATTTGATATAGGTACAAGTCTATGTCAAAATGTATAAATATGTCACACAACGAACTACCAAGTTGAAAATTATTTTTATCAGTTTAAATGATGAAAAGTTTATTAAGTTTTGAGCGAAGCCCTAATTATGTATTATAGATAGTAATATAATACTATCAAAATTGTATCTTCATTATTATATTGTGCTTCTATCTTATCCATGTGCGAAATGCAAATAAAATGAGGTTAAAATAAATGAATAATAAAATAAAATGCATATAATTCCGGGCTCTATTAATAAGATACATCAGACAGTATTTTTATTAAAATTATTTTAAGATTTTAACCAAATATAATATTATAGCCTCATAAATTAAAAAATTTAAAGAATCACAACAAAAAGTAACATTTATATATCAGCTTTAAAAGAATCAATAATTATAATAAATTAATTTAATAAGATTAAACATATTCTTGAAATACACAACACCTATATTTAGAATGAATGATCTTATCAAACAGCGAAATAATGCAATATAATTTCTTTATTAAAAGAATATAATAAGTTAGATAAACATAATAACAGTTAAGCAAACCAATAAATGAGACGTGAGTACTCAATTTTAACTATAATTTAAATTTCATACACACTTTACCTACCATGGTTGTCACTTGTCTACTAGATATCTTAGTAAATAACCTGCTAACTATACAATATTAAAATACTAGTAACAATAATAAGTATTAACAATGTAGTACAAAGAATTCAAAAACTAAATAGCAATTTTGAGACAAAATGACATTAGTTATAAAATACTAAAATGTAACAGGGTATAATATAAGCACCAAAATGAAAATAAATGACTTAAAGTTTGCTTAAAATATTTACTAGAAACCAAAATCCACTAAATACTTGAAATTTAAAATATACTTTTAATACTAACAATGATAAAATTTTGAACAAAAAATATTTATAATACAATAACATCTATACCACTAATTATTATTTTATTATATTATTATTATATAATATATATATTGTAAAATAAATACTTAAAATTAAAATTCTATAATTTATATGTTATTCAGGGAAAACAATAAATTTAAATATACACCCTGACTGGCACATACAATTTTAAAAGGAAAATATATTATGTTTGAAAATAAAAGCAACCTTTAGAGACCACAGACTTCTATACTACACTAGATAAGCAGCTCGTGTCATCAAATTAATTTTGTAGCACCATTTTAATGGTTGGAAAATTTACATCGGCATGACAATATGAATTTCTTTGGTGTTTTGGTATATTACATAAAAAGTTTGCAAATTTTTCCTATCCACAACGTGATGGACGAGCTTCAATTATTTTGAGTTACTAATCTAGTATACACATAGATAAATAAAACAACAGTGTTTTATCTATCTATAATTACACTATAGAAACCTGTGTTATACACATCAAATATTTACACGGATACTGATTTTAAAGAATTAATTTCTCTTTGTATATTATTCCTAGCCACTGATTCATATTTATCTCTGTAGAACTTTGTTGCATATATGTTAGGAATTTGTAGAAAACTTTCAAGAACCTGTCAACATAAAATAATATTATATCACCACAACAGTTATAGAATGTGACTACAATTTACCTTTATACGCAATTCTTTATAAGTTTCTTTATCAAGGAAAGCATATTCTTCTCGGACGTGGTTTGTGTATTTTTCATAATCAGCCGGTCCCATACCTAGAATGGCCATGTCTACATCCAAAAAGTAATGTTTATCCTCACATCCATAACATCCTTCAGTTTTATGTTCTTCTGTACTATTAGTTGCACCAACTTTTAATAACGAAATAACATTGTCACACAAAACTGTATCCTAGAAAGAAAAAAATACACAATGTTTTAAAATAAAAAATATAAGCATATAAATTGAATATGGAAAACGTTTACCATATTAAGTTTAGATTCTTCAGAAAACCTTCGAAAATGATTTATATTGTCTTCACTGCAGTCGGCTAACTTAGGATCATATTCAAAACTAAAAAATAAAAATAAAAACGTGTTATATTTTTAATTAATATTTTAGTGTTCCAACTTACTATCGAAATATTATTGCTAAAATGACTGCATTTGGATTTTTCACTAAGCTTCTGGCTGTTTCAAATTGTTGCAAACAGTCGTTCAAATCATCAAGACCATGACACCGGCGGTCAGGTGCACTGTAACGATCCAACAATGCTCTCACCCAGACATCTCTGACTGATTCGTGCACATCATTCGATAGTGATCCATTAAAATATTTTCTCAACATTGTAAAGTTTCCTGTTATCCTAATCAAACAGTGGACAAATTAATATATTTATGTGAACAACACAGAGTTCGGACGGATAGATTCACACACTCTTTCAGTACTCAGCTGTGCAGAAATGTATGCTGGTTAAGTTATTGATTTTTGAGCATAAAGAAAATTTAAACTATTCGGTAGAATATTTCAGTCAAACGTATGCCCCCACGAACGTCAATTTACTGTGTTCTTATGTTTTTTTATAGTTGTGACGTTGTTTAATTGGAATATAATAGGTACCTACAAATTATGAAACTATAAAATTCGGGAAAATTGAGAATAATAATTGCAAGTTGAAAATTAAATTAAATTACATTTTCATAAAAAAGCTACGGTAGCATATTTGTTGTAGCGACATTGGTAACACTGTAAAATGTTATCATGACCAATTTCGAAATCAAAATTGAAAACAAATATCAAACATTTAAAAAACATTAAATTACGTTTTTCACTCGTCTTTGATTTTTAATTTTTATTAATTTCAATATCATAGAATATCGTAGAATATCGTAGAATAACTATTAACAATCGGCAACAATGATGACAAATCTATATTAAATAATTGTGAATATATTTGGATATTAAAATTATTTAGATGTAGAAATTATAATAACAGCACTTTTATTGATAGTTGAGAGTATTATTTTCTCCAAAACCGGCAACGCAATCAACAATGCCATGAACTTGGCTTGGTCAATACTGATCGTTGTCCTACTGACATTCTGTCTACATTCAGCTCATCCATCTACAGGGACTGGGAAAACGATCATCTACGAAACAGAATGTAAACACCTACGAATGGGCCAGTTCATGTGCCCCGATGATGGGTATGAATTCATCGACCCAGAGACGCAGCAGTTACGCGGGTGTACCAAAGACAATGTTGCTCAAGGTTTTGAATAACTCAATCCATTTGACATTGCTTTAACATTGTCATAAAACTGAAATATATTATTATTGTTAATTTTTAATAGTTCGGTGTAAGGCAAGCGATGGTATTGTGTGTTTAGAAACCAAAAACTCAACATTTTGGAAAGAGTTTCCATGTAAATGGACGTAAGTTCATATTGTTTTTGTGTCTCAACTAATCATCTAAACTAAATAACTTTACTACAATTTGTATTCTAGCAATGGTTACCATTATGACACATCACTGTTATTGTCCATTTTCCTGGGCATGTTTGGCGTGGACCGTTTCTATCTAGGTTACCCGGCAATTGGTCTACTGAAACTATGCACTCTTGGGTTTATGTTCATTGGCCAGTTGGTCGATGTAGTACTTATTGCCACACAAATTGTTCGTCCTGCTGATGGATCACATTATATCATTCCTTATTATGGTCCTGGCATTAACTTTATACTAATGGACAATGAAACTTACAGACAACCACAAGATGATTGGTTTGTTGATCATAATGAACTATAAAGCGTTAAAAAAAATTACTATAAGTATCTAGATTAAGTTTACTTACTATTATTACCATTAAAGTTATGAGATGTATCAATTATTTTGTTAAATAAATCATATTATTTGATACCTAATTTATTAATTCCAAGTAGGTACTACCATAAAAAAAAATCATATTTTTATATGTATATTATAATAATACTACATATTAAAAATAGTTCTGTGGCTCCAATAATGGCTGTACATTCAATAATTTCTTGTTACAAGTTTTTTTCTTTTAATGAGTTCTATACAACAAAATATTTATGAAAGTAAAAATTGTATAAGCATTTAACAAAAATTAAAAAGGAGAATAGTTGTTTAAATTTCTTGCTTAAAATTTATTCAACTAAGAATCTGCAATAATCAGATTATTTTTAATTCAGAATTTCTAAAGGCGATTCTCAAATGATGTTAATATTACAATAAACATTTTTTTATTTTACATATTTTACAATGCAATATTTCAACATTCTATATAGGTATCAGAATTATAGTAATTGATTCTTATAAAGACGAATACAATTTATTTTTGAACACCTAATCTTTAGACAGTTGACTACTTCACTTGTGCCCATTACATACAACAAATAATAAGACAACTAAAATACTATACACTTAATAAATGCAATTTTCTAAATATATGATTTACCCACAGTCTCATGGATTTTCTTCCTACAAGGCCATGCTCTATTTTTGATATCATGCATTTTGAATAAATTATTTAGTAATATTTGATGCATATTTAAGTGTATAATTTTTAATCTATTGTAGGCAACTTATACATCATTTGATGCAAAATTTTCTCATTTACCCCATCATCAAAAACTATTTATTATAACCCCAATGCCAGGGAAAATATTGTATTTACAAATATATATGTTAATTACAACCTGGAGTCATAGGGTGTATAGATAATGAAAAGGTGTGTGGCCTACGGCGTCCGTAAAAATACTTTTATATCCTGATACAGTGCGGATGCTGGTGGTCGCATGGCAGTTAACATATTAAAACTTTGAAAGTGAGTGAACAATTTCATCATAAAATGATGTTTGCAACATCACCGAGCACCATATTATATTATTATGCCAATACGTGATTTTATGTTTAAATTTTGGATAGGTTAATGTGGTGTGATTAATTTTTTTATAATTATTTGGTAATTAGATAAATTTAAAAAAAACTTAGTGATCACTGTATAGGTGATTAGAAATTGCATTATTTAGGAAATTGATTTTAAAGTAGGAAGAATTTATATTTCAGAGCCACTTATACTAGTGAGTAGTTACACAACTAGAGTTTAAATCTTTAGGGTGCTACAATTATGAATCGTTCACATAGCGATAACCTCAAGATTTCTTTTTTAATAATTAAAATTTAAGCTGTTAAACATAATTTCCTATTGATGGTAGAAAATTTGAGCAACATTTCGTCTGAAACAATGTCATTAGTTTAGTCTTGTAATGGTCCCCTAGTAAAGTCATTTTTTGTAATGACATTTTAAAAAAATTGTGTTTTTAAATAGTTGCTTTAAGAAATATTATAGCGGTTGTATAAATATGATCATAGAAACTAACTAACCAGGATGGAAAACATCCAATAATATGCCATTTTTGCACTAAATTGTACAATGTTTAACTCTAGTTCTGAAAATGCTTTATATGTTAGCATATTTTGAAATAACTCAATGACACTATTGATAATTATTTCAACCTACCCGTTTTGAATTATACTAGGTATTGTACTGAGTATGTCTATAAGTCCAAACAAATCTCTTAAAACAATTAGGTATTAAAATTATAAATTGACATTTTGTAATTTAAGATTTTAATATAATAATAATATAATCTAAGAGAATGCAAGATTATAAAAATAACAATAATAATCACACACATGGCCACCTAATGATCAAAAAGAGCCATCAAATACAAGTCTTACATGCAGATATCCAACTTCAATCCAACATATCATACCGAATGTAGAGACACAAAAGTGGCCCTACAAAACACAATATACCTTAACACCTTCACGGCGCACTTGACCCCGACGGAGAATCCATCAAAAATATAATTTTATTTATGAAAGACATTAAATTATACAATTTAATATAAAAATGTGCAGACCATATTATGTAAAACAAGGGGTGCTTAAGAATCCCCATAGTTGTGCCACTGTATATCCTGCTCGAAACTTTAATAATTTTTAGAAATAAAAAGAAAACAGATTTAAAAATGTGAGAGAATTTTGGTTACCATAATAATACATAAAAAAAAAACTCCATACATTTCTCAATACATTACAATACAATAAGTTATTTAATGTACTGTGAATATATACTATCAACTCTCATGTAAATATATTTTATAAAAGCTAGTTTCTTAGTTTCTAAGTTGGTATCTTTAAAAAAAAAAAAACTATTTATGAAGATCTGTCATAACTTTGACTGACTTATACCTGTCTTACCCACAGCCACAAGTAAGAAATATTTTTTATTCTATCAGCATTTGTACATACTAATATTATATTTTATAACTGCATGTATAAAGAGTAACACAAATCTGAAATGTGTGTTCATATTAAAAACAAGATAAATATGATGTTAAAAACATTTTATTTAATTCTCCAATTAAATTATAGGTAAACATTTAGACCGTACTAAATTATTGATTAGGTGTTATATATTATTATTTTATTAGTAACTACAAACTACAAATTATAATATACGCTATACAGTAAACTCTCGTTTTGTCGAAATTTAAGGGGAACAGTAAAACATTTGAGGTACTTATTGCGTTTAATTGTAATGGTAATTATTTTAAGGGGATTTCAATTGAATTTAAAATTACCCAAAATGTACGATATTGACATTCGACATAATAAGAATCTATTGTACAGCAGTAGTAGAATTTTTTCTAAATTACATACAATTTCAAACGGACATACATAAAGAGTAATGGTTATACTATCCAATAGGTACATTGTAAGATAAAGGTAATAAAATCTATCAAATAAATATTAACTATTAAGTAGGTACTTGATACATACATAGTATGATGAATTATAAGGTTTTCATATTTTATCTTAGGCTTTAGTATAGAGGAATACTAAAGCTAATATTGTAGTATATTATATTATACGAGATAAGAGATTTCACCAGTACCTAACTATGTAACTAGCAAAAAAATACCTAATTGTATTAGTTAAAATGTACCTATATAATTATTTAATAAATATTTTGTAGTTTCTTCAATAATGCTAGTCTATATAATAGTTTTTTGTAATACATTAAATACATAAAAAATGTTCATCGCATCATAAGTTATACTCATATAAAATTACAATAAATGCTTCGATAATATCAAATTGAAGTTTTAAAACTATTAGGTAATTATTATTACAATTAATAATTTAGTAGGTATTATATCAACTAAACCACACTATGGCACTATGCAAATAAATTTTCTTAGTTTCTTACTAATAAAAATAATAGGTAAAATGTTAAGTATAAAGGTATATAAATTATGCATTATTATCCAATATTCATAGATACAAATAAAGAAAATGTTAAAATTAATATTTAAATAGTACAATTAACTTCAGAATATTTTGGCCTATATAATAATGTTCTAAGTTTTTTCAACTGCATAATACCTACTACCATATATTTTATTGAAGATATAATATAAATAATATATTTAGTACAATACACAATTAACATATATAAAAATTGTACTCAATAATTAATACAAAACAGTAAATATAGGAGCTGTGTCAACATGGCATAACTATTGAGCAATTGGAGCCAGGAGGATGCAGCAATATAGGTAGTCAGGTAGATAGGTACTTATCTATGTATTATAGGTCCTATTATTGTATTGTGTATCATGTTAACAGTCTTTTAAAATACAAATAAATAACTCTCTAGAAAATAGCTGTTAATCAGCAATTAAAGTTCACCTGCTTAACTTTAAAATCAAAACTAAATGTTGGCATATTTATTTATTATAAAATATACGGGCTGAGCCCTTTATACAATTAGGTTTATAAACAAACAAGGTGAGATAAAGCAATAAAATTAATAATATGATAATATTTATATATTATGTAGCTGATTTGCGCCACATCTAAAAATTGATTTTGGTAATTTGCAATACGACATAAAACGAAATGGAATGATATGTAATCTGCGCCACACGTTTAACTTCAACTGTTCAAATTTACAATTATTTTTAATTATAATATGACTGATTTTATTTGTTTTATTAATAACTGAAATTTTACCTGTTTAGTATACATGTAATATTGTAATATGTATAGACGTATAGTGTATAATTACTTATATAAACATTTATTTATGTTATTTTATGAATATTTAATAATTTCCTAGAAATGTAACTATTAAAATGAAATTAATTGATCAATGATAAAAAAAATACACAATATGTAAATCCGTTTAAAAAAAATTGTTTGATTATTTTAAAGTCCAGGCACAAATTACAATTTATTTAAATAAGGTGAATAATGTCGCAACGTGCAAATTCCAATTTTTGTAGGTACAAGACTTCCAGTCTCCAGATAGCGCAAATTACATAATGCCATTTAACATTTTATATAGTCTTATGTGGTACAAAAAACAACCTTGAAAAGTGACACAAATTACATAAGTTATAGGGACATATATTTTTATTATTGGTTGTTTTTGGCACAAATTAGATATAGGCACACTCTTTATAAATGTGAGATTTGATAGAGATTGGCCTATAGTTCAAGACGGAAGACACAGATTAGAAGACTCGTGGATTCAGATTTTTTTTAAAAGACCAAGTACCTACCTACCCACCTATTACCGAAATATCAACATTTATACTTAAAAACCCTTTAATCTCACAGCACCCTCCGTATAGGTATACTTGGCTATCCTTATAAAAAGGAGCCTCTGAAAATTTCAATAATAAGCCCAGATTTTAAAGCTACGCCATGGATTATAATAAACAGCAAGATAACAAACAATAAACATTATTTTAAAACGGTAAAAATTAATCTTGAGTAATATCAATAAATGTATTGAGTTTATTGTTCCTTAGAAGATTCAATAACTTCTCAATCTTCGCAAGATTTTAATAAACACTTATTTAGATTTGTATCAAATAAAAACTTAAATAATCAATTGTATATAAAATAAAAAAAATACATAATATTGACTGTTTGAGAGTAGGGAAATGGCATTTATATGTTATATAAAATAAAGATCTTACTATTATAGTCACTTGATTCGTTATTCGGCTTAGAATATTAAATATAATATTTTACTGGGCCTTTGGTCTTGAGCAATTGATCTACCCTTGATGGAATCGACTGCAATAATCCTTTGCAAGTTGACATCTCGACCGGCATCATAGTTTCCACTCTAGGATCTTTCAGGCAGTAATCCACAACAGTCTATAATGAGACATAGGTAACTGATTAGCAGTTGCGTCGGCACGGTAGTATTGGCGGGGGGGGGGGGGGGGTTGAACAATGCGTATTGTGCATTAAAAATCAAATAAGGTGGCACCCTTTCAAAAAATCTTTTTTTATTGTTAGGTTGAAAATGAATGAAAATGAATGAAAATGTTTAAATATGCTACCAAACATAATATAACGCTACTATATAGATTAAACTGTGCAGTGTATGTTTTGTATTATAATTTAATAATTATTATATTTCTATATTATAGTTTCAATAGTGGCTTGTTGAGGTGAGGTCATAAGCTCAATCTGCGGCAAAGCTCTGAGTGTACCTATTTACCGGCCGTCATTGCCAGCACTGAGATGTATGACCTACCCGAGTTCTTAGCAACACATCCTTGCCACACATACAGATTCAAACGTGTACCCCCCCCCCCCCCATTCAAACGTGTACCCCCCCCCCCCACATACACACACACACAGTACCAGGCTAATGACTTAAGTAGTTGAAGCATTAATCCAAATAATAAAAAAAAAGTAATTTACAAGAGCCACTTGATGTTACTCTGCCTGTACCATTATAACTCAGAATGATGTCAGGATTTTTATTAAATAGGTATTAAAATGATATACCTTTTCATTATTTGTAAACTGTTTGGATTTTAAATAATTATGTTATGGACTTATAGTAGATAGGTACTTATACATAATGATACTTTTTTTTTATTTGAGTAGGTGCCAAGGTTTTCAAAAATAACACCCACGGCGGCTGTAGGCAAAACAACTTAGAAGTCGAAACTTAAAAATTGTATGGAAATTGAAAATGCTTGTGTTGATAAAGATAAAATTTCTAACCAAAAACCAAATGGGGTAAGTTATGAAAACGCCATACCTGGTAGTATTGTTTGCACTGAAACAAAATCTCCAATTTAACATTCTTTTGATTTACAATCTTTCTGCTATTGCATCTAGCCATGTGCATATGAGCCAACAACACTGGTTTTACATACTGGTCACTCAAGCGTTCTGGTAACTTTCTTTGCCTAAATCAATGAGCATTTTTTTTAAACTACGATTAAAGCATAAAATGTAAATATTAAATAATAACCGAAACCTAAATTTACACATACACATAAAACGATTCGATAAATCTCAAATAATATTTAATGGCCGACATCGAGTAACGATTGATCTTCTTCATCGCGATGTCAGTGAGCACCAGTTTATTCTTGACGTGTCTCTCGTACTTGATATCCATCATATCGCTGTACACTGTTCCCAATTCGTACCAGATGCGTCTGCAAATGTTCATGCAGTTCTCCTCGTTGAGTCTATTGGCCACTAACTCCAAGTCCACGATTCCTTTTTTGAAAAGCTTTCCCATCCTATATATTTATTTACATACATATGGACGCAATATTAGAAAAACCAGTGCACCCATAAATCATATAAAATATTAAACATATTTACGTAAGTGTTGGGTAAATTATTATTGAAAAGAAATAAGCTAATAAAATTGTGTTACCTTAAATGTTTTTATTTAAATTATATTCGAGTTATCCATAAGTAGGTAGAGCGTTCGTTACAAACAACGATACTTTTTTTTAATAATGAATTTAAAAATCCTAAATCAGTATAACGGCTAATAAGTATTAAACATGAATAATAGTAATGACATAAGGTTATATGTTATTCCTATTTATTTAAATTATAAGTTATAAAGGCATAATATAATTTATGTTGTACATTGTTGATATAAGATATTATATACAAAAACAAAATGAACAAAACGTATTATACTCTTATTTTTTTATGTCTAGTGAGGTATAATCCCATAATATTGAGGTAGGTATGTCAATGTCAGTAATAAATGTCAAAATATTATTAATTATTATTTTAAACTATATGGTTTATTTATAAGTCATAATTCTTTTGAATAACATTTTTTTTTTATTTGAATTCTTTCATTTTCCACTAACAAGTAACAATGTTAATTCCTAGATCTTAAACAATAATTTATATTGTTAATTATTATCTAAAACTTTCAGCATAGAAAATAAATTTAATTGATTTTTAATTTTTCTCGAATATTCCAGCCCCTAGTAGGTACATTCTCATAGTACATTTTACATCGATACTTTGTTTCAGTGACGTGGAAAAAACGCATTACCTATACTCCATAGAAATTACTTTTAAAAAGTATATTCGTTACGTTTGCATAAATTTAAATAAAATGTAATTAAAAATAATTTTGTTACAGTAACTCGTAATTTCCGTTTCGTCACTACTCAACACTTCATAAATGCATAATATATATAATAAGACGAGTAATATTGATATATTTTTATATACTTGTCTGGGTTGTCTTGAAAGTAAGTCAATAGTTTGTACACGACGCATGTGTCCATGCACAAATCCGAGTAGTAACTGGCCATCTTTTCAAACGAATAATACTTTTTCGTAGCATTCAGGTTTGCCAGTATGCTGTTAGCCAACGTTTGGGCGTCCTCATAATTATTCACGTAGTACTGTGTCACACGTTCTTCGTTCCACATGTTGAAATTCTTGAAAAATAAATTATTATAGATCGCTGTAAAACACGTAACGTTCATTACTACATGGTTTATGATAAATGTATATTATAATATTATTTCTATTTTAAGATATTTTCCTTATAAGCCAACCGGATTTTACATACCAGGCGATGGTCTATGCGTTTTCTGCTTCAACAATCTGGTTTTGGACTTCTTCAGTAATCTCAATCCGTATCTGACCCAACAACGCGCAATGTCTGCTGAATATTGTTTGTAAGTTTCTGAACTGAAAAATTGAAAAAAAAAATTATTACAATTATCAGCCAAAGCTCCTCAACTGTAGTTAATTTCACTGTATTCATTTCGGGTCCCATCACATGAGTAAAATTATCTTTACTGTATTGGTACCTATGGTTTATAGTTTACTTTACATAATATTAGTGAAAGCGCAAGTATGAAATTTTCCCACATCATTGGTTATCTTTACATACCCTTATTTTTATCACATTATAGGGTGTATCTGTACAGTTAGTATATAGTTAATACGAGTAAATATAGGCTATAACTATTTTAAATGCATTATTCCATCCCCCCATCCTAAGTTATTATCCTTCTAATCTATTTAAACTATATTTTTTTCAAATAATATTTTTATAACTATACTATCTTCTAACAATGCACTTCATACACACATCAATATAATTTTAAAAAGATTCTTTTGATTTCATTCAATTCTTTCTTCAGACTACGTGCTTAATGTAAAAAATTAATTTAAGTTTCCTTCATTTAAAAATCAGAAATTATTAAAACAATTATAAAGGTATAGTAGTAGAGGTAGGTAAATATATATTAGATAGGTATTTAAATTATAGTTCAATTTACCAGGTACTTATTTATATTGTTTATTACCAATGGTAAATATAAAATGCTTATTGAAGTTAATTGCATTTTGTAAATCAGTCTATTGTATAGTTAGTATTGAGTACATATTTACATAATAGCCAATAATAGTAATAAGAACACGCACTTGTATAAATTGACGTATTTGTTAGGTATAATCTTCTCCATGAACGTAGATGCTGCCGCTAAATGATGTCTGGCCTGTTTGTAGGCGTTCTGGTCGATAAGCAAATTCGCAACTAGTGCAGAAGACAGGGCCCAATCTAGAGGACTTTGCAGGTACAAATTGTTTTCCAGCTGAAGTTTGAGTGTAAGATGTGTGGAGATAAGTCCGTCGGAGACCATGCCTAGGTTTTTGTACACCTCGACGATATAGAATAGCGTAAACAGTCGTGCACTTATCAGAGGATTCTTGCTCGTGATCATGCGTCTTTTCGGACAATTCGAAAGCAACTTAGAGGCGGTCGTGGCCGGTCCCAAAATCTCCTCGTTGTACTTTTGGTACACACTTTCTGCCTCATGTAAGTATTTCAAAGCTTCCTCGTGATTTTCGTTATCCTTTTCCATAATGTAAGCTAGCATATTAAGGGAGTTGATGACGCTTAGTATGTTGTCAGATTCCGATTCGTGATCTTTGACAGTGTTCTTTGCTTTGATGAACATAGACTCAGCCATTGCTGGATCGTCTTCAATGTCGTAGTACATTCGTCCTAACTGATAGCACGCAGCCGCCAGACTTGAGTTTAATTTTTTTTCTTCGGGTCCACCGTTTATTGAATTGACCTTCAACACAAGCGTGTGATACATTTCTTCCATGTTTTCCTTAGCATTTGGGTTAGTTTCGTATGGCTGGAGATTTAAACTTGAAAGGCCAAATACTTCGGAGCGGTTAGTTGTAGCGCGGTAACTTAATGGTTCTTCGGTGAGAGCCATTTTTCACAGTGAATAGGTACTTCGTTTCTAATGAAATTTAAAAACAATTATTTTATTTTTGAAAAAAGAATTTCAAATATTTAATCAAATATCGGCACACACACAACGCAGAACCCTGTAAGGCAAAACTAAAAACGATTTCAAATTAGTTTTCAAAATTAAAATCTGTGAGCACTAAATAGCCTAGTTTTCGTCTTGTATTTAAACATATATTTAGGGTAAATATAAATTATCCCAACATTATGAGCATTCAAATATTTAACTTTTCCGGTGAAACAACATATTGCGGATAACTGGAGTATGAATTAGAAAACCTTTTTTATTTAATAATTGTTCCATTTGCCAATAAATGACCCCTTAGAAACGTCGTGTGGATTTGATATTATGATAAAAAACGAAGTTTTCTTTAGTGATAAAACTGTGAAGTTGTTTTATTTGTACACAACATACACTACATAGTATATTAGTAAATTTACACTAACATTGCGTAAATCGTAATCGCCTGATTTATTAATTGATCAATAATTTGTTTATCATAAGTGCCCCGATATAGTCCGACTAAATTGCATCCAACACCAATAGCAAAATCGAGTACAGTAACGCAACTAGTAGACCTGGATTTCCCCTCCTCCACCCCCATCCATTAGGCAATATTTGTGTAACCGTATCAAGCGATAAATTGTAAGTATTCGCAATCAACCATCAAGTATAAATATATTATAAAAATAACATTTGGAAACAGTACAAATAAATACAAAACAAAAGTATACATTATTTACCACCCACAAGAAAATCGAAACAGCGACGCAACTAGTAGACGTCACGTCCTTGGATTTCTCCCCTCCCACCCTACCCATTGAGCCGACCTGAGCAATCGTATCGAGCTATGCATTTATTCGGCATTAACTATCAAGTATAAATATATTGTAAAAATAATAATTAAGAATAGTACAACATTCGGTAGGTACAAGACAAAAATAAATATGTATTATTTTTTTCATCCTCGAGAAATTTCTGGGCACGCTACTGATTGAGGATATGTTACCACAAAATAATTTTTCTCGCATACATTTCAAAATACAATTGCGGTTAGGTTAGTGACCCGAATATTTCCATACACTATATGTTTGTTTATTTGTTTGAAAGCCTTATATTACCTACTATAAAAGTATAATATGTCAATATTATATTATGAGTTTTTTAAACGTACAATAATATTCGTGTACATGCGGACACGGTTATTATTACGAGTACGAATACACAACAATACATCACTTACCGGAAGTGTCGGGGCCTGAGATTGGAAAAAATACGATATCTTATTGAAAGGAACGCGAAACGAAAGTCAGTTGCGATCGCCGAAAACGCAGTATAATAATATCAGATGTGTGTGTGTATAGCTCAAAAATCAATACTCAGTCGTCTCGTTGAAACATCAGGTGGGTATGTATCAATACGACGTCGCAGGGAGAGTTGCCAACCTGTTTTGCTGGTCTTCTCTTAAGATCATAACAAATAGTATAGTACATGTAGTATATAGTTATAGGTACTAATAAAACAAAACACGTACAATTAATAAATTGTAATATCTCTTTATCATACTGCTTTGTTTTTCAGTAAACGCATCATACGAAAACCGCCAAACAACCCCTTTTTATCCGCTCTAATCTCTTGCAAATTACTGCATAATGTAAGTTATTTCTAGTTTTGTTTTTGCTACATAATTGTTAATACCTAATTTAAAAGTTTAATAAAGTTAATGTATGTGGAATATAGATATAAAATACAACTAGGCAGGTTACTGCAACTATAATGCTATTAATACACCAAGATATGTATATTTTGTTACAACAATTATCAATTTGTTGGAAAAATCAAAAAAACAATGTTACAAGTGCGCGTACTTGATATGTTTTCTCTGCAAGGAAAATCTATGAATCATAAAAATATGCTTTTGTTAATAACTAATAAGTAATCATAACAATGATAGTATTATACAAAATCGGTTATGCCAAATATTCAGAAAAAAAATATTCGTATCCTCTCCAAAAACATATTTTATGTTCAAAAACAACTTGTAAAGATTTTGTAACTTAACATTTTTATACATCATTGTGGCCGTATTGATTTTCAAATAAAAGTAAATAATAGTAATACAATATTATTTTAAAATTTAAAATTATTGATTTGTTGCACTGTTATTGGTACTTAACTGATATTTTATAACAACAGGGGAATGAACACAAAAAAAAGTTGATTCCTAAAGCTTTACTAATTATAATATTGCTCGACTACTGTGACAGTCATATTATTCAGTTAATATTTTTAACTTCAGAATCCTATTATGATTATTGATTATTGAAAATATTTAATAATGATCAAGCTATAAAACTGAAGTATTATATGATGTTTAAATCCCTATAGTTTTTGTTAATATTTGTATTAACTATCCACTCTACCACAAAGGTAGTTTCGTCGCAACGATATATTATTTATAAAAAGCGGTAAACAGTACCTAAACATACACAGTGATGTATCGAAATTGCCTATACACCGCGCCGACCAACGAACTTGATTAATATTAATAATTATTATTATAGCCTATTATTAAAATATTATATTATACTATAATTCAATACGTGGAGTCGGGTAATCTGAGTCAGTTATTATAATTAGTTGCGTATTATCTACCAGTCAACTTCCTAAATAATAAAGAAACCCGTTAACAGATTAAAGGAAAAACGCTCGGTCTGTGCAAAGAACTCAATAGATAATTATTTAAGGAAAGGGATACATTTTTGTTTTTCGATAAATAAAAAAATGCTGAAAATATTTATGTTAAATTAGCCATTAGGTATATAAAAATTAACTAACAAAGAATTAATCAGGAAAATGTCAACAAAATTTAACGTCAAAATTGTAACTAAATAAAACTTTATTTGAGCGAAATATTAATATTGAAGAATAACTTTTAGAAAACAACATTATGCAAGGATTGAAAGATGAATAAAAAGTGATAAGCCGCCTCGGGGCGCCTGGCTGATGTTTAATATCGAAATTATTTGTGTAGAAAATTTGCGTGAAAGTTGAAAGCATGGATTATTAAAAGAAATAAATGTGGCATAATCAAAAACAAAATATCCAGATTTTTTTAAGAAAAATTATTCTTTATTTTAAAAGCACATTAGGTGTTTCCCTCTTGGTGACGCCAACAACAGCCGGTCTCACCCACGGCATTACATCTTTCACATCAAAAATGTATAAATACTACTTACGCTTCTCCTTGCTTTCTATCCTTGTAAATTATACTTATTTATAATATTTACAATCATAGACGATATATACCTACGTTTTAAATAAATACATGCGTAATACGTATTGATTGTCAATATTATGCAAGTACGCATTTAAGATGGACATAGGTACATAATATAGTTATTACCACAGCAATACAATTAATCATCATTCGTTTAATGACAAGTTACAAAATAATATTGTTAGTTCTGCTTTTGAGGAAGTTACAGAAAAAAATTGTGATGGGCAACGACAATTAGTGTGAGTTCCAAAAATATCCATTTTGCATTTGGTTGTCTAGTCCGCCACTGAAAAATTCCTTTTTTATTTTATTTATTTAATTAAAATGTTTCAACATATTGCATGTTATTACAAGTTTGTTATTTCAATTAATACAATTTAGAATTTAGAATTTAATTGGAATATGGTATGGATGATCGGAAGATAGTGTGTTAATTAAGGAGTGGGAGTGATGAGGAGTGGAAATTTATTTATTAGGGATGTTAAAGCAGCTAGGAGGGGGCTTAGGATTAATTTTAGCTCGTTAATGAGATTTGTGACGATTTGGAGAAGTTGATCGGATGGTGGTGCATTTGCTGTGGCTTCGGCATATGTGAGTTTTTCCCTTGGGTTTGAGCGTAGCGTATCATGCCCACTTCTGTGGGGTGCAGGTGGTACCTACAGCTTGAGTTTGTGTGTGTTGATTATCTCTTTTTGTTGTTTTGGTTTTCGATTTGATGCGGCTTAATATTTTTTTGAAGGTTTGACAACCTTTATAATTGGCAGTGTGGTTTCCGCCACAGTTAGCACATTTGAAAAATTCCTATTACCTACACACTAACTTTTTCTAAGAGATGTCATAACATAATATAAATTAGAGTAATCAGTCAATCAATTATCGCGCAGTTAAATAATTCATAAGAATAAAAGATAAATGATAATAACTAGCTGGTAATTCAAATTATAAAATATAATAAGAATAATTAAGTCGATAACGTGCATTCGCGTTATTCGTGGTATCATTTGTGCAATTTATAATAGTATTGACATTATTATTTATTCTTAAGGCTGCTCGTCATTTCATTGTAAAAAATATACTTCCAGAAGTCCAATTATAATTTTGAAAAAATATTTGAATTTTTCTAGGTTACCTATGTAAGAAACGGAGTTTTGATTTTTTTTTGGGAACACTAAAGTAAAGGTGAATTTTGAAAAAAAAGAAAATTTATTTTATTTATTTATATTAATATTAAACAATACAAAAAATCGAAAATCCATTTCCGCATAACCTAGAAAAGAAAATCAGGAACTCAAATATGTTTTCAAAATTAATATAGGGCTTTTGGTATTTGGTGAATTTTTCTTCTACTTTTTGGGACTTTCGTGTTGAAACTTTTTTTATTGCAAAATAATATTGTAAAAATGCCACAGTTTAACTTTAATCACGTAATGGTTTTGGGGAACTCACTCACACTAATGATCAGTCACACTTAGCTCACGATGGGTATAGAGTGTATAGACTATGGATTATTATTTATTGCCTAAATCCGACCCCTTAGAAATGGTTCGCTTTCAACGGCCTTAATATTACTTTCTTTGGTAGTTTATGAAATATATGATAGAGTGAGCGCATTTGACGCACTGAAAGTGAAAGAGCAGTTATACGAAAAACCTCTAATCTCTATATTAGTTGTACCACACAACAACTACGTTTATTAGCACAAGAGGTGGGTTTCGACCTTCATTCTTTTCAATCGTAACTTGTAAGTCATAAACTCATAACCTCCATAAATTAGTGAAGGTTCATTTATGATAACGATGGCGCTGATAACAGCAATTCTATAATAATCACAGAATAATAGGTGAAACTGTTTTGTGATAATATACTCGATCGTCTCGATCAAAAATTTAGGATACTACTCTATTGATAAATAATATTGGATCATTCGTGTCAACTTGTCGAGTTCTCCATTTCTCCACTTCGTCGTTCCGCGACCCTCGACTTTTTACCTCCTCACCACATCATGTACGACCCGCCGCCGGAACCTCCGTCCGAGTCGGACTGCTGCGGAACCGGATGCGCGGATTGCGTGTTCGACGTGTACGACCGAGAGTGCGCGCGGTGGCGACGTCGGCGCCAGACAGGCGAGGGTGACCGGCTGCGGCGGGACCTGCTGTCGGCGACCACGCACAAGCCGTACCGGATCGTGTCCGCGCGGCCGCTCGGCGACGACGTACACGCGTACACTTTTGCGGCCACCCCGAAGTCCGTCGGCCGGCTGCCGGTCGCGTACACTCAGCACGTGCACATTCGGCTGGCGGACGGCCTGAGCAGACCGTACACGCCGGTGGCCCTGGGCGACGACGATTGTTCGTTCGACGTCCTGCTCAAGGCCTACCCCGGCGGAAGATTCACCGGCCGCCTGTTGGAAATGGCCGTGGGCGACGTCGTGGCGGTGCGCGGGCCTTCGGGCGGCGTGCGGCACGAAGGGTACGATTCGATAGTCATGTTCGGCGGCGGTACCGGCGTGGCCGCCTTCGTGGGTCTGATCGGATCGTTGTTGGACGACGACAAGTGCGAGACGCTGCTCAAACTCCATTACTCGTGCAAAACCCTCGACGGGGTGCTGATGCGCAAGGAGTTGGCTGGGTACGCAGCTTATTGGAATTGCGCAGTGCATCTGTACTTGACGAGGGAACGCGATTGGTCACAACGTTCGAAATCGTTTTGGTACAATGAAAATATCACAGAAGGAAGAATTTCTCTAGATGGCATGGCTGAAATAATCGATAAACAAAAAGACTTGAGAACGTTATGGCTGATTTGTGGAAACGATGAATTCAATCAATATTTTTTCAACGCTATACAAAATTACAATATTAAACGAGATCATATTAAATTATTAGATAATAATATAAAAGATTTAAAAGTATCTTGACATTACCCATATAGGCTAGGTATCCTACAATAATTTCTCATAAAATTACAAATTGTTAAAATGTAATGCTAGGTATTTAAAAAAATTTAAATCTTCATTTGAATATAAACAATTTACAATTTAATGATACTTTTTACTACCAGTGATGAAAGCATTTCTTTTTTTGGAACTGGTTCAATCGACTGTTTACAGAGTATGCTTGTGAAAATTCAATATTTTTTGACTTATTCTATCAATGAAAAAAAGTTTCCTTTATTATGCAATAGTCAAGCTGTAATTACTTGAATGTTGAAAGCTAACAAAAAAAAAAATTTCTAACTATAATAATGTTTACAAAATTTAATTTTTAAAAAATAGAACATACCTATTTTAAATATTTGGTTTAAGAAAAAAGTTAATTATAAATGTAATAACAAAATGATAGGAACATTGAAAATACGATAGATATAAGTGGTGGCAGAATACTTATTTGGTGGGCATCAACTAAACCAGTACCAACAATTACTGTGAACGTAGACATTTAAGTTGTGCTAATTTGCTAATATTAATAATTTTATTAATAATCATTCAGTAGGGTAAAGTTGAATTAAATCACAGATAGGAAATATAGATTAGCAAAAGTAAATGATATAATATATATACTGATCTCTACAAGTTTTCATATTGTGTAAAAGAATTGTTACTGTAGCTTACAGTATGGAATGCATGTATAAGATTCCAAAAATATTCATAACAAGGTTTAATCGTTAATTTAAATTTAACACTGTTTTACTGAACATTTCTTTGAAATAAATTTTAAAATAAAAACTTTATACATTCACTTATGTTATGTTTTCCATCTCACCATAAATTCAATAATAGCGTTAGTTAACATGTATTTAACTAAAATTAGTTGGATCTACTTGTTGTTCATCTATCTCAAGTTGACTGCAAAACATAATACAATCAACAGGTGAGTGATGACCCAGTGAACATTTTCATCATATTATTATGTATCATAAATTATAATAATAGTATTTCTTCTTTAGGTACAATTAAAACAATATTTTATTATTTTATTTCATTAAATAAAACAAATAATCAATGTAAACAAATTATTTTTTGGGAATTAAAAAAAAAATAATTTAAATCTCAAGTATTATATTAGACATTATTTTATTAACAACAAGAGTAATTCAACTGGGTATTAGTTTTCACTAAAATTAAAAATATAATATAGATAATATAGAAAATATACATGTATAAATATTTATATATACATATATATGCTTATACTTAATTAAAATGATCAGTAAGTGACTCAAATATTTTGTTATACATGATTAACACATTATCTACTCATTAAATTTTTCTCACATTAACTTTTACATAACAATTTCACTTTATGAGTAATTTACATGTTTACAAAAAAGTAGTAACACAGTACTCAAATTAAATACTACTACATAAAAGCTGCGATTTCGTCAAAAATGATAAGAAATTAATATAAGTAATAATAACTCAATTTTGATTACCTACTTAATGATCTAGGTAAATATTTAAAGTAAAAAACACTTATAAGCACTCCATAGAGAAAGCTCTTTATTAACAGTTTTGTTGGTATCAAGTATGATATTTCATGAGTCATTATTTTCAACAATTAATATATTCATCTATGCACAGATCACAAGTTTTCTTCGATAACTTTGTTTAACTGTTAATAATTTTCACTTAATATTATTACTATTTTTCATTACACATCATCGTCAGATTCCATATATTGCTGATGACCTCGCAAGGAGCTTTTTTCATGTCAGAATATGGGGGGTTCATCTCTATATCGTCTGTCTCTATACCTATCCAGATGAGCATCATATGCACGTTCTGCTTCTAACCAATCCTGGTATTTATACCACCATTCTTCCCACTTGACATAATCAGTTAATGTAAGATCACCTAAGTACCCTTGATCTTTATAATAAGCATAACGACCTTTTACATCTTCAATAGATGTACCCTCTGGTAATGACCTAATAAAAAATACATGGTTAATTTTGATAATCAAATCATTTTTTCTTATATTTACCCTAAAGCTGGAGTAGGAAATGGATGAGGAGGTGAACCAATTTCAACTCTAAAATCATCACCAGCTGTCACACGAAGACTTCTTTGTGGTAACTCATGGGCACGACCCATTTGAGCCATCTTACTAAAACGTTCAGATAATGTTAATTGACCTCCAGAAGAAGAACTCATTGGCATATCTGAACCACCAACACTAGATTCTTCTTCTGACATTGATTCTACTTTAATTGTTGGTTGATGTAAAACAGCCTAAAAGATTAAAAAATATGTAGAACTATAACATATAATTTAATACAACAATAATTTATGTATACAGTTTCAATTTGTGAAGACTTTGATCTATGTGATTTTTTCTTTTTGTGCGATTTCACTTTTTTAATACGTTTAGTTTTAGTTGGTACAGGTTCTGGAAGTGGACCAGCCTTAGGTAATCCAGTAGTAGAACTTACTTCTACTACAGGTGTGTACCTTGGTACTGAAAATGATCTTGATCTAAAATATAATTAAAATATTACCAACCCAAAAATTATAAAAGTAATTAATTACCTAGAACGTTCATGTATGGGTATAACAGGTCTAGACATTTTTGGAGATTTTGGCCTAGCTAATGGTTCTGGTGGTGGCTCACGTCTAGCAGCAGGTATTCTAGCTTCACATACTGAACAATGAGAATCTGAACATGTACTTACACTTGATGAACGTACCTTAAACATTAATTAGCAAATATATAGCCATGAAAAAAGAGTTACTCATAAAATTAAAAATATACCTCTTCAGCTGATGATGTTCGAATACGTTTAAGACCATGTTTTTTAGACCCTCTTCTTCTAGGTGGTGGTGAAGCTATTCCTAGTCTACGGTTGCGACCAAGTATAGGAGATCTACGTCTTCTACTTAAAGATCTGGACCTCCTGGCACGTGAACCATTAGCAGTTGGTGACTCTGAAGTGGATCTACGTCTTCTTCTAGAATGTAAAGTTAAGGGAGACTTTCTTGCTCGGTATGGAGAGCGGCGTCTATTTATTGGAGACCCCCTTCGGAGTGATAACGATCGGCGTGATCTCCTTAAATCAGGTGACCGTGAGAGTGGTTTACGTCGTTTATGGGATGGAGACCTACGCATAGACGAACGTGAACAACTAGAAGAAAAGCTACTAGATGAGCGCCTACTGATTGACCTAGATCTTCGATCACTATACATTTCTTTGAAACCAGAATGTTTCCACCTGAAACAAACATTTACACATAAATAAGTATTTGCATACATACATAATATAAAGGCTTCTTAAATTAAGCATCAAATAATATTATATTTATTTTTGATAACATAATGCTATAATAGTTACAAAAGCATATTTCTCAAATATGGTATGATTACTAAAGTACTGAAAAATCTATTTGAACATTTCAAAATTATTCAATCTTAATATTTGTTATACATTATTTCTGGTTTGTTAACAACTTGTTATAACATCTTAAAGAACAAGAAAAAGTGTAGAGCACTAATTGTCAACTAGGGTGCTAAATTTATTGATGTTTTGTATAATATACAAAACATCATATTTATTAGTACCTATACTCAATTCAGAATGAATTACCTCGGCAGCAATCAGTTTTTGTCACAACGGTCAGACGCTCTCTCCCCCTAGGCAGCTTGCGAGACTAGCACTGCGGGACGAAGCCACGCCTAAGCTCAGAAGTCGGCCGCCGAGGTACAATCTCATTCTGAATAAAGTATAGTACCTACCTACGTTTCGATAAATTTGTAATATAATATTAATCAATAATCATTATTGTATAAACCAGGCGTGGTCAACCGGTCGATCGCGACACCCTTTCGCATTTTCTTAAATTTTTGAACAATTTGTGTATCTTTGTATATCCCACGAATATAAAAATTAGATTTAGAAAAAGACAATAAATAACTATGAAAAACAAGATTATACACTGATATCTATTAACTATCATATTATAGGATGGATAGCCCGCATTACTTCCTATTAATGGCCTTTATCGCGTTCGTATAAACTGATAATTTGTAATCAAATATATTAAAATACGTGTAGTGTTATAGTGTTAAACTGCAAATTTATATTGTAAATAAAAAGTAATAAAATAAGTGTAACACGCCTGTACATATAATATATTTTTTGTTTATTGACAACCATTTTTTTTTTTTGGTCGATCACGACCGCCTAGAAAAACTCGGAGGTCTATCAAAGTTGGCCCCCCCCCCTCCGGGTATAAACGACAAGTACATCCAAAGCAGTATTTATCCATTATGCATCACATGGATTAAATCTTGCTTTGTGTTCGACTTAATCTACCAAAAATGTTAGAAATTGTCTTGATATAATGAAGGATATGGTTAATTTATTTAGAAATAATGCTTTAAAAGGAGAAATTCACAGATATGCCATTTTAAAACAAATTTCAGGAACTAAGATAACATGTTTGGTCAGCTCAGGTGAAACACCCTTTAAAAAAACAGTACAAAGTAGAAATGTTTTTGTCAAACTTTTTAATCCAATTATAGTTAGTCTGTATAACATACAAGAAATAGATAGTGTGATTTCAACAAAGGCGTATTTACTTTTGGCAGCTGTAGAAAAAAATCATATTGTGACTTCATAACCTGTCTATGAAAATCTATTAAGGTTCACTCTTCCATTGTCACATTACTTACACAGTCCTAATAATTGCGATCTTTCATCTACTAGTGATTATATTAGGTAACAATATTATAAGGAGGCTGAAACATACGATCCGAGTCGTATCAAACGAATTGTGTTCATGGAAGTTTAAAGAAGCCAGTAATTCATCAAAAATGTACTTAGATATTGAAATTAAGATTCCTCTAACTATGAATAAACAAAATTATATAGATATTTATTTTTGTAAGTCACCAGAAGGATATTATAAATTGTCTACATTTTTAAGATGTTTAAATAATTTTATTTTACATTTGGAAAATAGATCTGTAACGAGTCTTGGACATCCTCCCAGAATCTACAACTGAAGTAGTGTTTATTTTCAACTTAATAAAGGGGTCAAAACCTTACTTTGAAATAAAATTGGAAATAAAGGTTTAACAGGACTGATTTTGCTATCAGTTCACTGGGCAATATCTATCGAATATGATGGCAAAGCTAAAAGAAAATTTGTATTATTATAAATTATAACTATACTACACTATAGTTTTTTATATTAATTATATTAATATTTATTATAATTACATTGATTATTACTTATTTTATACCTATATATATTAAATAACAAACAATTTTTTTTATATTCAAATTAAAACATAACCTATTTGCCATTACAAATTTGACTTTTGATTAGGTAAATAAAAATTTTTTTTTAATTGACCTCCCTCCAAAATAAAATACTGGCTGTATTCCAGTTGCGAATTGATTGATCAACAAAACCTAGAAATACTGATATAAAATTAAAGAAAGCAAAAAAGGAGACACAATTAAAGAAGCAAAACACCTAATACTAATAGAAGTATAGAGCTCATACTATTGTAATTATTTTAACTGGGCATCAAAGTACTGTGTTTTATGATAATGAATGTAAAATTATCAAAAACGCATTATTGAATGAATGCACCTATCTAAAATATACCAAATACTTTAAAGTTAAACATATTTTACTTTCTTGTTTACTGTGTAAACTTACCTAAAGTATAGTACATATGAATAATATATTGTAAAAGCTTTAGCGTAGGTACCTGTTGGGGTCTTTTTCTTCAGCTTCTAAAACTTTGTTAATCCAATATTGACTTTGATCTCTGTCTTTACGGGCCCTCTTAACTACATTTTCCAGCTCTCTTCTTGGTGATTCTAGAGTTGATAATAATACAATTATAAAATATATTTCAATTTTAAAATGTATAAATTTTAAAATACCTTTAGATCTGGCACGACTTGATGAAGCTCTCTTATCAGTTCTATGCCTTTCATTTCTAGACATGTTCAATCCTATAAAAAATAAAATAATAAAATACTATAAAATATTTATAAGGGTAAGTAAATGTTATCAATATATTATTATCACATGTAACACATGGCCATTAAATAATATGATTATATGTAATTGATCAATTTTTGACGTACTTCATACCATTAGTCGAGCTGTCAGAATTACTTGGATTCAGATACGTCCAGATGATGAGTTGCGACTCATAAATGAAAACACCGAACAAAAGGAATTCAATGGATTTTGATATAAAAGGAAAATGTTTAGTACTCAGTTATTATTCTTTTTAATGTTAAGCTTAAAGCAATTTGAAAATAATTAGGTACGTATATAATTTTATATATGTAGAAAATATCAGTTTAGGTTACATTTTAGTATTTATTATATGTAATTAGTAATTTGTATAAACTCTCAATATTTAAACTATTAGTTCTACAATAACAATAGTTTTATACTAACAACTAGGTGCACAATGTAAAGTATAAATAAAATGTTTTCATGATTTATAGTAAAAAATTCCAGCAATAGGTATTAAACATAGGTAGTAAATTTAATTTATATTCAGAAAAAGAAGAAAAAATGAATAATATAAATTATTGAAAATAGGTGTACAAAGTACCTACGCTTACTAAGTTACAATTGAATATACATGTTTGAGTCGTAAGAATATATAAATACAGCTAACAGATAATTACACAGATTGCTGTATAAGATTAAAAGTATAAATGTCATTATGTTCATAATATTGAGTTAGGTGATTATTCAAGAAGTGGTAAAAGAAAAGCAAACAGATAATGAATACATTTTAAGATATATTGGTTGGATAAAAATTAGCAAAACGGTTTGCTAAGGCTTAAATATAAATAATACTAGCAGCATTACATATGCAATTGAGTTCTGCAAGTAAAAGCATTGAACACGTCGAACATGGTACGAATGAGAATTAGTGAGAGGCTACCCGAACGCTCCGGCAAGCGAAGTATCCACTAGAGATTCGCGACGACCGAACGGTAAACGGATCTTATATCGACGGACGGCCCCCGGCAATACGCGCCGGTCGGAGGCTCGGTGTACATAGCGTCGCGCAATCATTTTACAATTATCGGACGGAAACGGCTCGCGATCAGCTCGACGGATCGGATGACTTAACATTCTACGTGCACGCTCTTTACAAAGTACGTGTTTTTTTTTTTTTAATTACAGCAATATTAAAAACTTAGATCATGAAAAATTAAAAATAAAAATCATTTCAGCCATTCCAGATTGCCAACAAAATACATACTTATTGAACCAACGAACGTGTCACTTTTTTTACTTTTAATTTTACGATTTTAGATTTTCACACACAACACCAAACAGATGAGAACTCCAATCGAACTCGAAAAATGCGTTCACAATCCCGTAGGAATGCGATTGATTTATAACCGACCGAGATTTTTTTCCACTTTAAAAGCGTCTTCGAAACGATAATGATTTACATAACAGTACCACTAGTAACAGGCAGCAGCTACATAAAAAAAACACAAACCCAGCAATAACTAATACGAAAAAAATAAAATAAAAACATCGACCCCAGTACAGGCTGTCCCGAACAAGAGCAACAGATTTTACAGTGTTGCCACCGTGGACCGTAATCAGCTGCTGAAGAGTAATATCCTAGTTTCACCCGGCATGTCCCATAGACGTCCTTTTACTACAACTAGACAAGAACTACTTATTGTGTACAACAAGTACAGCATGCGAGCTGCGTAACAACATCTCGCAGTGATGCAGGCTGTCTTTACAAAAAAATACAATAATCTATACATACATTTTTGTATCTTACCGTGCGTATGAGTAATCGAGTAATCAAAAAGCGTCCTCAATGTTGTTACGCTTTCCATACACTCATTCAAGGTGGATTTAATTTATAAATCCACCTTGCACTCATTGCTCGCCTGGATGTACCCGTATACATATTATATTATTTTATATTCAACTATTCAAGGTGGATACACTATATATATATATACACGCTATATATCCACCTTATTTATATTAAATTCCTCTGTGATTTTAATAATGATAAATGATAATATTTTATGAGAACAGGACAGTGATTTCATTATTATTATTATTATTATTATTGTAACTATCATTGTTCATCATCATCATCATCATCATCATCATCATTGTCATCGTCATGGTCGTGGTCGCCGTATCGCCAATTCGTCAGTGGTAAATTGTCACTCGTCGTATGGGCGTAAAGCTATATTCACAGCTACGTCGTGTGTCGATTCGTGTTTATCAAATCGTGTTGTGATAATGTGATCGGACATTCATTTTTTGGTATCATGTAATAACCAAGTTGCAACCAAGAATACGTCCAAAATTAATTACAGCTCAACTTTTAAGCCACATTTGTTACCAGTTGTAACCATACATTTACGACACCCTCCGACGACACGACACACGGCGTAGCAGTAGCTCCGGCTTAACAGAGCCACCGAGGATCTAATAGTTACATGGACAAAGGTATAGAGTTCTAGAAAACCAATGTTTAAAGTTTATTGTGGTGATGGGGAGGGAGGGGGATACCAATTGACATTGACATATCTCGAATTTTTTTCTTCGCAATTTTTTGACGTCGCCATGAAAAATTAATGCATAATGGTTAGACCGAAAAACGAAAATAAGTAGAAATACAACAAAAAATGTTGTGCATGGTAAATTTGTTTTGAATTATTAACATATAATAAGTCATTTTATTCCACTGTGGGCACTGTAAAACTCACGCCTTTTCGTAGTCTCTTAGATTGTTCTGATATATTTAGGTACTACAGGTATTTTTATATTTATTCTATTAATATTGTGCATTTGAGCTTATACATGCATAAAGTCATAAACATTGGTTTATTTTGGGGGGAGATATGTTAGGGCGATGACAATATATTTATAATATTCTATTTATATTTGGAGGGCGTTACGTATGTATATAACGTCATAACCTATGGGCTGTGCAGTATATTGTGTTTTTTGGGCCCATCGACAGTCTTATAATACTTTATAAGATATATTATATTCTTAATAGTGTTAAATGTATATGTTATGGTGAATTTGCATCCTGCAAATAGTAAATTTTCATTGACAAAAATGTACCTATTTAATGTATTTTTAAAGGTATCATCGTACTAATAAAACTACATTTATGTTATGAAAAATCTAAAAACATTAGGTATTTATGTCTGAACAGGTAACTTACTATAATTTACTATTCACACATTCACACGATGCGATACACATGCACAGTATCAATTGAAGATGTCTATAAAAGTTTGGAAAAATAAATACCATCTCCTACTAACAAATCATTCAAATTAAACTCAATAAGACTAGTAAATCAAGAAAGAGACGTCATGAGATACTGAAAAAATTAACGGATAACAGAGGTGTAGCTAAATTGCCTACACAAACTGCCGCGTCGTCGTTGAGCTGTATGTTAATAATTTTGTTATTGAAATGATTACCAAAAAAATGGAGCCAAACAAACAATTGTATTTTAAATTATCAGCCAAAGCTGATTACAAGGGCGCACCCAAGGGGGTGGCTAACGGGCTTTAGCCCCCCCCCAAATGGCTAGCCCCAAAACATATTTTATTAGGTTTATTGACAATTTAGTTTATCTCAAACCGCAGGTATCTTTACGACAAATTTCACTTTCATTTTATTACTTATTCAGTAGATTAACTAGTATTATCGTTCAACTGTTCAAGTCGACATCGTTGGTTTTTCGCGAGCTTATTTATTTATTTATTCGTTTTTAATTGTTAATTAACAAGCTTTAAGATTTCTATACATATTTCAAAATAAATACTACCTATATATTAATATAACAATTTTTTGAATTTAGCCCCCACACGAAAATGTTACATTACAAGGACGAGTACGCGATGGTTACACTTGCAAAGAAGAATGTTAACATTTCATTTATATAATAACTCCTTGATAAAATGATGATATTTTTTTGTATAAAAAAAACTGTATAGATTCATGACATTTTCACCGAATGTTAATGATTGCATTGTCTATACACCTTAAAATTTAAAAAATACTTCGACTCTTTTTAAGCTATTTAAAGGCATAAGGAAATTGCAAGGTCTATAGGGCTATTATAATGATTTTCTCCAAGGTACCTAAACTATTTTGTTGTTAGCCTAGTTTTTCTATCCTGAGGTTATTGACTGTTTAATAAACAAAAATGGTGGTTCTATAAATATATATAAATAATCCTTACGTTTGTATAAAAGAACTGGCCTTTTATGTGTACCAATTTTCTAATGACACTATTGAACTTTTATCCAATTTTTCTTCACAGTGTGGTTCAAAATACCTTCCTGAATGTCACCAAGTTGCTCGATTTTTCATTATTTTGTCTGAGGGTGTGGAGAGGGGGTGTATTGTATTTAAAGGTTACGGGTTCAAATAATTTAACGATTTTTTCTCACAAAGTTGTTCCAAACACTTTCCCGGCTGTCACTACGTCATCCGATTTTTCATTTTTTTTTGTCCGTGGGGGGGGGAGGAGAGATTATCTATCGCATTAAACAAACTTGAAATCTACTTTCGTTATAACAACTTATTTTAGACACTACTTTATCGATTATCTTGATTTTTTTTAATGATAGAGTATATCACGGATAAGGTTTTAAGCTGCATAGTTTGACCCCTATAGGTAGCAAAAGGGTAAATCAAACATGCAATTTTTCAGTTTACAAAAAAACAACATTATTTTTACTTATTTAAATGATTACCATAGGTTATATATTACATTACCTACTATAACTTATTAACTTATTAATATCATCATTTATTAGTAGAAATATGAAAGTATGGCATTCACATTTTTTTTAAAACAAATTTTTGGCACGGACCAAGTCGGGAAGAACAGCTATAGAGTTTACATACATATATATATAAGTCAGTAATAATAGGTATATCTTATATAGCAATATCATTATAAGCAACAATACATTTGTTTTTTTTTCTTTATAAACACTCTTAATGACTTTGTAACTGGTGAGAAATTTAATGACTTAGATAACTGGTGAGAAATTAATTAATAATAATTAATCATTTATTCTGATATTTTTTAGTACAAATTTAAATTTAATTTTCTGTTATTATTGCTCCAGAATTGGGATAAGACTCTTTTTGAGATACCACGTTCAGCCATTTACATCATTCTATGTAGCAGAACACTTCTGGGGTCACTAACACTGCATCTAAACAATGATAATAGAATTTAAATAATTAATTATGAATTGAAAGATTTAAATATTAATAACTTATAACGGCAGAACACACACAAGTTTGTACTTTGAAGGTTTGCTTTCGCTTGAGGAAATTAACTAACGCATGTAAACAACACAGATTAATAAAACGGTCAAGTTCTGAGTAAATTTGTTTTGAACAATTCTGTGAAAAACAGACAGTTGGTACTACCCTACCATGGGTGTATTTGTAGTGCATCACTCAATTTTCTAGAAATAGAAATTGAGTTTATAAAACTATATTTTAAATCTGTTCCGTAATGTGCTCTATATATTTTTAAAAAACAGCTTAAAGATTAGAAAAGTGGTTCCTGAACTAATTCTTGACAAAACTACTTACTTATAGTTCGATAACCCTTCAACTAGTAAAAATCCTTACTCAGTATTAGTCCATTTACCTATGCTCACATCAAATATAAGCAACACTTTGCAAAATTTCAAGCTTCAAGACCCTGAGGTTTGAGCTGTGAGTTGATATGTCCGTTTTTCTTTCAATAAATATTGAATATAGATGTACCGATTTTTTCTTTATTCAATAAATTAAATTGATGATGTAGTAAAATATGATAAATATAAATTATTATAACATTTAAGTTATAAGTTTATAACCATGTGCTAATATTATTTATTACATTATAAACTATTGACAATTTTATTAAATGACGTGCAGCATGCTGGGCCAGGGAATTACACATTTGTAAACACAATACCTATTAGTACTGCGCACAATAAGAATATTTACATTTAATTATATTTACTATTTACACATTTTTATTTTAGTGATGTTATTAAGACCAATATATCAACGTTGCTTTAGTCTCCTCCGTATATTATGGGATGCTTTTGGATGGGTAGCAAGTTTAGATTTCTGCAGTCGTCTAGCTGTTGCAGTAATGTATTGGAGACATAATGGTGCAGGTCTGTTAATTTAACTACTTTCGCAGCTCACCCTATTTGTGTGCTGATAAATCACGCATTTATTCAATTTATACTTTTTCAAAATTATCAAAAAAATCTAAATTTGAATAATTGCATGAAAATGGGGTGAAAAGTATCATCCCGTATGATATACAATATATTTTAGAATCTTGTTGTTACACATAGTATACATGTGTGTGCATATATATATTTTAGGTGATAATAGTACGTCTATTGTATAAGTATTAGGTTGAGTACGAAATGGAGTGCGTATATCGATCGGGAAGTCCGCCACCTATCGGCAACAGCAGCAGTGAGACAACGCTGTGGTGGTGACGGCACTACGGCTGCAGTGCTATTCGCGGCGCCCCTACATCTCACGCACGGCGTGTACTCACATTATTGCCGTACCTACTAATATTATATAATATTGTACAATATAGGTACAGTGAGACGAAAGCCGAGTTTTATCCCGTCGAGATACGATGACACCGGTCAGTTTCCTGTTAATTTGCGCAGCGTTGTTGCGCTCCGGGACGGCTGCCACCCCCGAGCCATTCGGATGCGCGAACAGGTTCGAAGTGCACGACGATAAGATCATCCGGACCGAGGATTCGAAAAAGTTGGGCGCAAAGTTCATAGACTCGGTGGAACAGCACGACCGAGCCGGGTGTCTGGAACTGTGCTGTCGGACGTCCCGGTGTGACGTGTTCGTGTTCGAAGAAAAAGTAAAACAATAAAATAGTTCATCGATTGTAATTTTTAGGAATAATGAATATTATAATGAATTAATAAGCGTATTGTATGTATTTTTAAGTTATAAACATAATACACAGGCACGACTTCTCTGCCAAAGTTCAAAATTGCAAAACCATGATGATGATGTGATCCGTCATAAAGTGGGCCTGTAACAAATTTAAGGATTGAATCATGCATTATCCCATAATCCTTTCTCAGGGTATATTGGGTTGTGACGCAATATTATTCCTTAAATTTAAAATCAGTTTTTATGTTACATTCTATTTGATAATTTTTTTCTTGACTTTTCTTTTCTTCGTAAATGATTAATAAAATAAAATTACAAAATTAAATACTTAATTAATATAATATTTGAGTTTAAATAATAATTGTATCATTAAATTTTAATGATAATATGTCCTCTGCTTAAAATGTATGGTCACATAATATACATATATGCGTGTGAGTGTGTGTGTGTGTGTAAAGGAATATAATGGCATAATGCCACCTAATTATAAAATAAATTAAAAACAGTTTATTCAGTCTACGAATTTAGGCAGAAAACACAAAACATTTACGTAATGTATTCATACTCATGCCAGTTGTTTTCAATTTTGAAGTATCAGCTCCATACTTTCCAGTAGAGTATCTAAGAATATTTCACAGGGGGAAGGGGAGTTATAAATATTTTAATAGACATATTAAGACATTAAGTATATAGTATATACTATATATCCAAAATACATATGGCATACATTAATATTATCTATTGACTACTGTTATATACATGTTGGCATGTTGTATTGTGTACAAAACTTGGTCTTGGTTGGGGGGGTATGACCCCCATACCTCCATAGATACGAAACTGCTATTTATACACTTACTTCGTAGGTATAAAAAACTGACTGTATCTAATTTTAAATTTATAAAGTGTGTATGACTACAATAAGTGCCCAGATATAATTTATATGTATGTTTTGGGTCACTCTTTTCATCCAAAATCAAAAGCTCTAGACTTATTTCACCTTAAAGATTAAATATTATTTTATGCTTAATTCATGTTTTAAATTTGAATTTTGGTTTTGGTTAGTCCCCTGGAACATGTTACTTGTTTGAATGTGGACCATCAGATGATTTTAAATGCAAATTCACCAATCATAAGAACTACAGCAGTGCATTGATGTTGTCCAGACATGCATCAGAATTAGAAAATCAGATTAAACTCACTCAAATTGAACATGAACATGAACTCATTCAACTTAAGTAAGTAAAAATAAAAAAGTTCTAAGGTATTTGTGGGTCTAGGGCCCCTCGTCAAAAATCAGGATGGATCATGGGTTCATTGACTATATTTAGCAACTTTTTATGTTTATCAACATATTTCATTTTCAATGTTTGTAGATCTCTATGGCCTTTTAATATTATGTTCAACGTGTAGAAATCTATATGTATGTTGAGCTTTTCCAGTGTGAAAATGAAAACCAATCTTTGAAATTGTAATAATGATTCATTGATTGGCTACATTAATCTACAGTACCTGCTTTTTTAATATTATTACTATGTAATCTTATCAGTCTAGGGAAGAGAACTTGTAGCATTTGCATAATTATTTCACACAATAATTTTACAAAAATACCAGAGTAAGAAACAAATACGTTTTATGCTAAGGCAAAGCTACCTAGTTTTTTTTATTTTATTCTGCATATAAATGTATATTTTGAAGTAGGTATTTATGCTTTTAGCAAGCCTGGTAAGTTAATGAAAATGTCAACTTCGTTAAGTTAAATGTTAATATGATATAAAACATTTTAAAAAGCTTAAAGTTAATGATTATCCTATATTTAAGCTCCATTTAAGCTTAAATTTATATAGAAATAGTTACAATTAACCTAAATTTTTTTTTTTTAATACACAAATAGTCAGAAATAATATGGTTTAAAATAATAAAAAGTAAATGTTTATGTGATTATGCAATATGAATCAATGATAATAATTGTATTATATTTATTACTTAATTATTTATAAATCAACGTAACTTGGTTTTGATTAAAAGCAACTCGTTATTTATTTAGTTGATAACAAGAAAAATTAAGTTAATGAAAATTACATTTAAAAAAGTTAAAATTAACTTAATTTATACTTAATAAACTTAACTTTTGATTTAATTTTAACTTTTTTATAACCCGACTTAGCTTTTAGAGCATATTTTTTCCATTTTTTACTTTTTTGAAAATATTTTAATTAATTGGGTAATAATTTGGTATAATCATAGGTAATAACTAATATTACAACCATATCATACACAAATACGTAGTATAATAATTACAATCAATGTTTTTATAATATTTTTGTTGAGTTAAATTTATTTTTCATTTCTATCATAATACTATGAACGGGTAGATAACAAAAAAAAAATTTCACTTTTCACTTTCACTTTTTGTGAATCAGGCTATAGAAGCTTTAGAGGTTAGCCTGTTAGATTCATTTTATTTATAGATGGATAAGTTGAGACACAAAATATGACCGATACCAAAATACCATGGACTAAGATATATTAGTGCTTTGTCCGTGCCGATACGCATTACGCGGCCATATAGCCATATAGAGCCATAGAGGTAGTAACAGATACGAGATTACCCGACAATGTTTTCCAATTTCACAATCGGTGTGTTTCTAAGCAGTCGACTACGCGTTTTGTTTTCGATTTATTTTAATTTTGTAGTTACTTAATTACTACAAGTTTCATTTAGACTATAAGTTTTTTTTTTATTCACGGCCGTGGTATAATATATTAATTAAATTATGAAGATAATTGTCATTCTTATTTTAGGTATTTTTAAACTATTAATATTTTTAAATTAATTGCCTGAAAAAAATTGTTGGTGCATATTACAGGGTTTATCATTAGTGCTTGCATATTTAGTGCTTTTTTAGAGCTACAAGTCATCTCCTCTAGACTTATCATAAATTGGATATTATGAATTATAATATTTTTCCTATATCTTTATTATATAGAACATAGGTATACTCTTATCGTGAGCCGTGAATAATTTATTTTCAGAACTGACAATAAACTATAGTGCCCAGTATAATACATTAATTCATAGTTTATAATACACTCAATTTTAACCTACCTATATACTGCATAATAAATCTAAACTCCGAACATCTAACATCATTTTTGTTTTGCATTATTTAGGAAACTAACTCCATTTACAACACCTTCAACAACTGTTTTACCAATATCGGCTATTAATAAGGAAACAGAAATAACTATCCCACTGGATAAACATTCTGAAAGTAAAATTTGACATTTATTTTGAATATGATTAAAAATAAATAAAAATAATGCATTAAATCGATGACTTATATAAATACAATTTTTTTTTAATTTTTAAAGGAACTCCTCGGTGTAGTAGATTTCAATTTGAATGCAAAACATCCAGTGAATGTATTGCTATCTACAACGCATGTGATGGAATACCTCAATGCAGCGATGGTAGTGATGAAGCTCTTGAACTGGCCTGTCCGACCACTCCCAGTAAAATTATTAAATTAATTTTTTTTTTTTTTGATATGATGGATTTAAAATTTAACATAAAAGTTATTCCTATGTCTGTACAAAACAGGCAAACAAGTACTCATGAAAGATACAAACTATGGATTGGCACAAGGAAATAATTACATTCAAACATTATCAAACAAGCCAATGGATATAATGGGACAGCCAGTAAATCAACCAATTCAACAATATCAATGGAAGAATCAACAACCAATATTTAGTTAGTTGGAAATGTATAAGCATATCCACTGAGAAATTGTATTTATATAATTTTTCTTTAAGGTTCTAATGTAAACTATAATAATGCAAAAGTAGACAAATCTGCTTATGGCAGTAATTTTCCTTCTTCTCAGTACGGAAGGGAAGGTGAAGGACTCAAATGGACAGGCCAAGATAATATGGTTCACCAAAACTACGGTTTGATATAGGTACATTGATTATCTATAATAGAATATTTATATAGATTTATTTTACAGGGAATAATCGAATATTCACACATGTCAATGGAGGAATTTTACCGGACTATAATCGGCAGCAAAATAACTTATTACAAAATAAGTAAGATTAAAAAAAAAAATGGATAAAAATAATAAGTACAATTTTGGTGCACATCTACCTTTAGAGAAAGCTTTAGGTACATGCACTCATATATTATATAGAGAAATAATTAACTGCATTATTTTCAGTCCATGTACTCTATTGCTACTACTGTGGTTCAATAATTATATTGATAAAACATGACAAATGATTTAAAATGTATTATAGATATAGTACTAGCCACTATTAGGTATATTTTTTTCATGAATTTATTTTCTTTGAAATTTTTTAATAAATTAACAGTTACAAATACTAGTGAAATACTAATTACACCCCTTGGATTTTATATATCAAATAAAATATTTTTTTTCACAAAAATATATTATACATAGCCAAATAAGTATAATTTACACATTTTAACATTTTAAGCAATTTCAATATATTTTAGTATGCCGAGTAGAGTATACAATGCTGAACCAGGGATGAACATTGATCATAACTACAACCATTTGAACAATATGAATCATGAATTCCATCACTTTAACACGGGTAATATATTATCTAATATATTTCAAAAAATAAACATAATGTGCAGTAGATGATAAAATAATATTTTGAATGTAGGTGGAAAAACTAATTATCAAAATCAAAATAATCCAGATTATTTCTATGAAGACCTGAGACCTAAGATGGAACAGTCAAATATTATCCCTCAACTAGTGAGTTTAAAAATATTTGTATGTTAAATTATATACGAACTACGGAGTTATAATATACTATAGTTATCTCGCCTGGAATCGCTATTATTATTATTATTAACTGTAGACTGTAAGCTGTAACCACTGGCAACCCTATAAATAAACGAAATGATAAAATTTGTTCGTAAGCTGAAAAAAAGGCACGTGTGACTGTGTGAGCTATTATTTTGCCACCTATGTAGGGATTAAAATAGGCTTACAAATTTCTCCACGATATACTTGTTCACTTAAAAAAAATCGTATAACTATCAGATGAAAGATTTCCGAGATCATTGGCTTCAAAGATTCCCATTTTCGTATTTGTATACATCGATTTTGTAATATTTCGTCTTTTGTTATGATCCTTGAAAAATTAAAATAATTTATAACTTTGTTTATTTTAGGGTTCTGATTATCAAAGTCAAATTCAGTTAAATGTTAAAAAATCTGAAACATTATTAACAGAAAAACCAGTAATAGTTCAAAAGCATAATCTCAATGAAACCTCTACTCAATCAACAACTACAGGTTAATTAAATATTATTTTCAAAATATTGATATTGAAACTAAACTTAATTCATACTTTTAAAGTATTACTTTATCATACACTCTGAACCCATAAATATATGATTTTACAATTTTTAGATTCTCGTGTTCATGGAAAATTAGTGCAACCACTGACAGAAGACTCTATACTTGTTCGTGAAGTGTATTTTGAAAGTAGCGATGATGGATATGCAATAATGCCAAACGGAGCATTTATTTCTCTTGTTCTTGGTAACTATACAATACATTAATAATTAAAAAATGTGTAGAATAGGTTTTGATTACTTTTATAATTTTAACATGTAGGTACTATAATAACTAAACTCAGACTTTATATAACAACTCAACTAATAAGCATCTAATAAGCATCTAGATAATCTCCCCTTGTTTTAAAATTATTAACTGTATATGAACCATACAAAACTACCAATGAGAAAAAATTATAATCCAAAATATTACAAAGATATAAGTTACCTTCATTATCATTACCTAATTTATTAGTTAAATATTGCCGTTATCGGTTATTGCACATATTTTTTAGTTTTTTTTAATGTTTTTCAATCCTTTCAGGTGTTATTGCATCGAGTATAATGATAATTGTGATTGGTTGTCGATTAAGAGTGGTGCGTAATCGTCATCGAAAAGGAAGCAAACAGTCATACGCTCATGACGCAGACTTTTTAATTAATGGCATGTATTTATAAATGTATAATAACAAAAAAATGAAAATGCATATTGTGATTTATGAACATATTTTTTTTTTTTAATTAAGAAATAATACTATTTTATTTATACATACCTATTATTATTTACTATAATTGTGTTAACTATTAGATTTTTATAATATTAATTGTCCTATTCTGCAACATTATATGGCTTTAATACACTACAGTGTTGTAAATTAATAAATTAATCATATTTGTAAATATTAAGTAGGTATTTATTCTGTTTCGTTTCTTTTAACTTCCTGGTACCACTTCTAAAATATAAAACGAATTATATATAGGTATATCAATGATATATACATTATATTATAGGTATATGCCGTGACAGTTTGAAATTTTACTCTCCTCCCTCCAATCGATAGTTAAGTCCATTTTTTTTGAAATTAAAAGGTAGGTAATACAAAAATGTAGATAAGATTCAATTCATTTTAAAAAAGAGATAAACTGGTACGCCGTATCCTAAACATAAATATTGAATTTAGCGATCTAATTACTCTCATTATTAAGACGGCGCACTCATTTTTTATTAGAAAAAGATATAATACGTGCAGTTAAAATATTACTGTTAGTATCAAAATAAGACGACCCAATAATGCAGGGATTCTCAAATACTTATAAACACCGTACCCCTTTTTATAAATACATTTTTTTGAGTAACCCCCTTGTTAGTTACTAAATTAAAATATATAAATAAAAAAATCAAAGACGTTTAAAGAATTTTTTCGTTGTTGATTTCTTGGCCAGGCTCGTACCCCTTAAGACATTTCGAGTAACTCCAAGGGGTACGCGTACCACAATTTAAGAATCCTTGCAATAATTTATTATATCGGGTACTGAAGAATTTGGCAAGAAGATAATGCAAGGCTGACATTATTTTTATGTGTGATACTTTTAAATCAGCTCCTAGCTTTTTTCAACAGATTTACACATTAAATTGTTTCGTGCAAAGAGTTATGTCACCAATGGTAATTATTCAAGTATTTTACACAAATAAAAAAAATAAACAAATATTTTTCAGGAAAACCTGGAAATTCTTACCAATTTTTCAAAAATATTTTCAAATAGGTACATATTAAAACCTAAATATTTGTTTGAACTTAAAATAACAATTAAAAAACTGTATTTATATCATTTTTAGATTTTTTTTATACAAAATTAACTACTTACATGCAACCTTGTTAATTTTTTATCATTAGGCGACATTAGCTATATAAAATGTTAAACGTTTTATACATTTTTCACTGTTTAGTAATTTGTATTTTCTTAAAATTTTAACTTTAAATGTTTACCTATCAAAAAAATAGCGCTTATGCATTTTGAATATTTTCAACAGCTGTTGTAACAATATATCAGGAGCCTTGAATCAAAGTTTCAAACTTTTTGATCCAACGAATAACATTTTATTAAAATTATAGAAAAAAAAACTAAAAATATGAACATTGAAAATTGTATTAAGTATAGAACGTGATAAAATAAACATATGGTGTAAATTTCACGTGCCCACGGTTATTCGTTCTTCGAATTACGGCAAAATAAGAGTACCTACCTATCATTCAAAAAAAAAATACACACACTTTATAGAATTTATACGCTACATTATTCCTTTTTCACTTAAATATTATTATACGCTTTGGTCACTGGTAATTTAAGAAATATTTTCACGGTTGGATATTGTCGTTTATTGTGTGTGTCGACACATGTATACGATATACCCCATACTCGATTGCGCATATTGCTGCAATTAAAATCCCTGCATTATTGCGGAGACTTAAAAATGAGTTCAGACTCAGAGCGAGGAGGTGCATTATTTATCATCGGTGTTCTTTGCTTTGTTTCATGACTTGAGAGTGAGCACGCTCTCAAGTCTTAATCCTAAACCGGTATTATGTAATGATCATATAATGGAAAGACATAATGCGGTACCCGATCGAAGAGAAATAAATATTATTGAATTCCAAACCATTTTTTTATCCTATTTAAAGTTGTTGCAGTTACTGCCAAACATTTACATAGGTACATATATATATGTGTATATATATACAACGATTAACGACAGTATAAATGTGCAGTAGTGCAGGTGTTTATAATGTATATATGCTGAGAAATCTAACGATACTGATACGGGGAGAGCGTTATACAAGTTATAAATTTCATAACATTATTATCACGGGTGCATTTGAAAAATTATAATTGTCAATTAAAAATTTTTTTATATAGGTAATAATACGATATATATGTGATTCTGAAAGAACAGCGAGTGTAATACAACAACATTTTGAATTCAAAATATTATTCTTAATAATGAATTATTAAAATACATAAATCTAATAGTTATCTTTGCGTTATATAAAACACAAGGATAGTTGTACAAAAAACGTCAGGCTACCGAAATTAAAAATTTGTATGAAAAAAAATTTAAAAAATTAAGTTCTCACCCAAAATCTATTATTATCAAAATGAAAATAATCCAATCATCGATCAGAACATAGATTACAGGTAGGTAATTATAAGTACTTCCATAAATTAGTGATGCAGAATAAATTCAATTTGGACATATACATGGTTCATTCTAAATAATTGATAGTCAAATTTTTATTTTAAACTGCACAACAAATTATACCTACTTTTCCTAACCTTTGTTCTCATAAGAGGATGTTAGCGTAAAATTATTTGTTTTTTTCTGGCCAACGTAAATTGTAAATACATTATTTTCCTTCCCATTTAATACAGACTTAGGACTGTCAATAGCAACATTAAATATTATATTGCTAAAGGCAGGTTAAAAATATTGTTTTTTATCGTTTCGTAATTACACTGAAAGAAAAATCCTGATCATATTAAAAAAAAACTAGGTTGGTTTGACAATTATCTTGTTGCTATTTAGCCGACAAGATTTTTATCAAAACAACATATGTGAAATTGTAATTATGATGATATGCTAATTAAAAATAATTCTCGTTATATTTACAATATTTCCTATTTGTTTGACAACTATCTTGTTGCTATTTAACAAACAATATTCTTGTCAAATCAACAATATTCTACTGTAGTTATGATAATACTAGCTAAATTACCCGTCGTTGCCGGGTTACGGTAAAAAAAAATCAAATAGTTGAATAATAATTGTGTATATACAAATAAATATAAAGGATGTATCATGTATACATCGTTAGAATAGTATGCAATTAATAAAAAACATAAAATGGAAAATAATTTAATTTTTTAAGCTTTAATTACATTTATAGATACTATAGATAGGTATACGTAAGATATATTTTTATTTTATGAATGGGAAAACTATACATACTTCACCCAAAACAAAAGAAATTACTATAAACTAATGAATTTCAACGAATTTGTGTATTATTATTATGGAAATTCTTTATGAACGATATTCATTGTATCTTTTTTGTTGTTTGGTGGTATTATTTGTATTTTTAACTTTTCGAAAGATCTAACTCTGAACATGGCAACACAAAATCGACAATGGTCCATGACTAAACACAGGTTGGGGTAAATATAAACCTACTTTATCCAATGTCTTACCCTGTGCAAAAGCTATTCGAAAACTGATGTCTGGTAAATGAAAAGGGAAGAGTAGAAACTGTCGGGGTTAAATCAATTCTAGGCTATAAAATACGCTGACCAGTCTAGGGACCAGTTATAGATTCCAAGTCTAAAGAATGATCGTACATATTTCGTACTATAAATCTTGTGCCATTCATTAGATTGGAGATTACATTTAAATTTCTCAAGGGTATTACAATAGCACCTTTCTTTAGTATCAAACTGTATTGTAGGTAAACCACTTAAATGTAAACTATCTAAAAATTCTGTAGGAAACAAAAAATCGTCACATTCTTTTGACACTATACTCACACTTAAATACCTTTTTTCTGGTCCTGGCAACATAGTGACAATTGCATTATTCATCTTATCATAATGTTCATTTTTAGGTGTAAGAATAGCAAATTGTGAAAAATTAGACACATTTTCTAAACTAAAAATAATATTTTCAAAAACGTCTTTTAATATATCACTTGATAATAGCGATGGTTTTATTTCAATTGAATATTTGTCCGAATAAGGATTTATTAGTGGGTATTTGCAATTTCCAATATGTAACAAAAACTTGTAAGTGGCTCGGCGTGGCGCGTTGGCTGCTGCCAGTCGCGGAATGCGAATAGGAGTAAGTAACGGCCACAGCTTCTAATTCCCGGATGGGTGACCACCCGGGTTCGTGGTAGTTAAAAACCTTGCCACACATACACGTGTTTGCTATCTACCGTAACAATCGTAAAAAAAAAACCAAATAACCAACCAACCTTACCCCCTGCCACAGTTCATAACCCCTACAACAGCTAATGGACCTAGTCGCCGGGCTTAAGTTCAATAAAAAAAAAAAACTTATAAAATTCAATTTCATTTTGGTGTACTCGCATATTTCTAAATAGTTTAAGAATTTTACAATTCAGCCAAATCGGAGAATATTTTATACAGTTTTGTATTGTAAGCTGTCTAGATCCATGTGAGACAACTGGTAAAATTTGTCGTTAACTTAACACTTCTAATAACTATTTAAATAATTATTTTTTTTGACGTTAATCTTTTGATGGCTTCGAGTACTTGCGTTAGAAAAAATAAGATGTATAACTGTCATAACTCATAAGAAACACAAATAAACGATAGGTACAATAAAAAACGGACGAAGACACAATATTACAGCACTGCTCTGTAGTTGTATTATGTGTGCGAGATAATTTTTATCGATCAACTTTTCGGAACAATTCATATCTACACGTCGATATAAAAAGGCCAGGTTACAGGTAGCTATGGAAACCCTAGGGTCGCCGCCTACATATAGGTATACGACAAACTTTATACTTTTAATTACTATTAAAATAATTAACTTTTTGGAATTTTCTCTTTTGATGGCTCATATAAGCACCGAGTACTTTCGTTTAAAAAAAAAATTGTGAAAATCAGCCCGGTAGAACTTCAGATATAACTGTCACAAGAAAACGCCTCACGTTTTAATAATATATA